ATAGGCGAGGTTGGAAGGGGGGATAGGCGAGGTTGGAAGGAGAATTGTTTTATTCCAATTCCCCTCCCCATGCTCCTGTTGGACGCATGCTGTTTTGCCCAGAAACTTGCCTCTGCTGCCCCCAACCTCCTCATTATCCCTGGAGAGGAGGCCCCGGAATTGCCCTGCGTTTAGCGCACCGGGAAGGCAAATTGCTCCCGGATAGCTGCCCCGCTGKGGCAGGAAGGAGGTTCCTCCCCAAGAAGGGATTCGTGGCGACGCGCGCCGGCTCCGCGCCCGCAGGTGTGCCTGACGTGCTGCTCCCGGGACGCCATGGTGCGCATCGACCAGCTGTGCCGCCAGAGCGGCGTCAAGTTCTTCGCCGGCGACGTCTTCGGCTACCACGGCTACGCGTTCGCCGACCTGGGCGAGCACGAGTTTGTGGAGTGAGTGCCGGAGCGCGCGGCCATGCGGCCGTCCTCCTCCCGCCCCCGTGCCCTTCCTCCGCTCCGCTCCTTCCCGCAGGGAGAAAACCAAGGTGGCCAAAGGGAGCCCGGCAGTGGAAGACGGGCCGGACACCAAGAAAGCCAAACTGGAGCCGGCGGAGACGACCATGGTGAAAAAGGTGCCGGAAGCGGCGCCGCGAGGCCGAAGGCTCGAGGAGGGGCTTCCCGTGGTGGGGAGTGGGCTCCGCGGGAGACCTTTCCCATTCCAACGCCGCCGGCCGCGCGTTGTGGCCGAGCCGGAGGGCCTCCGGAGCGGAAATGCCCCGGACTTTCCCCGGCTCTCCGGGGAATGCGAGCGGAGCCAGCGGATTAAGGGCCTTTTGTGTCCCTTTCTCCCGCGCCGGGGCGTTGGGAGCCGCTTCCCCCGCTCCGGGCTGTGCCGAAGGGATGGGAATACTCCCCGGATGCCGCTGGAGGCAGCTGTTGCCCTCCCCCGACTTGGGCTCGCGATTCCGAGCGTTACAGGCTCAGGTTTGGGATGCAGCGAATTCCTGCGCGTGGCTCCCGAGATGCCRATGAGCCGCGCGGAGCGGGGCCGCTTCCCGCGCCGGCCGCGCGGCTCGGAGCCCGCGGCCTCTGCCATTCGGAACACGAGGACGATCCGATAGATCCCTGTTGGGGACACAAGGTCCAGGAATTCCCGTTCCCAACAGCTCTGGATTTGGGCCAATGCAAAGGGCCGCACAAGCCCCATCCCGGGCCCAGCCACGGGCTCCAAGGAGCCGACGGCGTTCCCTGGAAACGCTTTAATTAGGAAGAGTCCCTGCAACCCAGGAGCTTTGGATGGGAACGTCCAAGGAGCCTGGGATTTGGAGGGCGCCRGGCTGGAAAAGCGCCCGGAGCGCCGCTCCGGAGCCGCTCCGGAGCTGAGGCGCTCGCGCTCCCGTTGCAGCGCGCCGGTTTCTGCCCGCTCAAGGAGGCCCTGGCCGTGGAGTGGAGCGGCGAGAAGGCCCGGGCCGCGCTCCGGCGCACCGCTCCCGATTATTTCCTGCTCCAAGGTGAGCTCCGCCGCTTCCCGCATCCCGTCTCCCCATCCCGGGCTGCAGGGAGCTCCGCCGCCCCTTGCCGAGCGGTGGCGTTGGCACGGATCCGGGCTTGGGGATGGGGCTTGTCCGTAGGGTGGCTGGGCTGATGTTGGGCTCGGAGCCGCGACGCCGTCTCCTTTTCCCAGTGCTGCTGAAATTCCGYACGGATAAAGGGCGGGATCCTTCGCCGCAGAGCTACGGCGAGGACTCCAAGCTGCTGCTCCAGATCCGCGGCGACGTCCTGGACGCGCTCGGTGTCGGCACCGACCTCCTGCCCGACGACTTCCCCAGGTGCGGATTGGGCTCTGTGCAGCCGGAGCCCGGCATTCCCGGAGCCTCCGCGCAGCCGGAGCCCGGCATTCCCGGAGCCCGGCATTCCCGGAGCCTCCACACAGCCGGAGCCCGGCATTCCCGGAGCCTCCGTGCAGCCGGAGCCCGGCATTCCCGGAGCCTGGCATTCCCGGAGCCTCCACACAGCCAGAGCCCGGCATTCCCAGAGCCTCCGCGCATCCAGAGCCCGGCATTCCCAGAGCCTCCGCGCATCCGGAGCCCGGCATTCCCGGAGCCTCCGTGCAGCTGGAGCCCGGCATTCCCGGAGCCTGGCATCCCTGGAGCCTCCACACAGCCGGAGCCCGGCATTCCCGGAGCCTCCGCCCATCCGGAGCCCGGCATTCCCGGAGCCTCCACACAGCCGGAGCCCGGCATTCCCGGAGCCCGGCATTCCCGGAGCCTCCGCGCACCGGGAGCCCGGCATTCCCGGAGCCCGGCATTCCCGGAGCCTCCGCGCAGCCGGAGCCCGGCATTCCCGGAGCCCGGCATTCCCGGAGCCTCCGCGCATCCGGAGCCCGGCATACCCAGAGCCTCCGCGCATCCGGAGCCCGGCATTCCCGGAGCCTCCGTGCAGCCGGAGCCCAGCATTCCCGGAGCCTGGCATCCCTGGAGCCTCCACACAGCCGGAGCCCAGCATTCCCGGAGCCCGGCATTCCCAGAGCCTCCGTGCAGCTGGAGCCCGGCATTCCCGGAGCCTCCGCGCATCCGGAGCCCGGCATTCCCGGAGCCTCCGCGCATCCGGAGCCCGGCATTCCGGGAGCCTCCGCGCATCCGGAGCCCGGCATTCCGGGAGCCCGGCATCCCCGGAGCCTCCTTGGCGCCGGCTCAGCTCGTGCCGCCCGGGATTAGCGGCTTGGCGCGGGAGGCTCCCGAGGCCGCGGCGTCCCGGCGATTCCCGCTGCCCTCCTGCGTGTCGCCGCACGCCGCCCGGGGTGGGAGCTGCCCGCCGATGGCCGGGAATGCCGGGAATGCGCCCCCGGCCCGCGGGYGGCATTCCGGGGGCGCTATTCTTAGCGGGGGCGCTCCGAGCAATGCCGGGACGGCACGGATGCGCCCGTGTCCAGCGAGGCCTCGGGCCGGAAGCCGGCTCCGCGCGGCCCTTCCCGCCGCGCTCCGGCTGCCTTCCCGGCGCCATTCCCGCCCTCKGCCTCCGACCTTCCCTCTGCTCCTTCCAGCTACTGCTTCTCCGAGATGGCTCCCGTGTGCGCCGTGGTCGGCGGCGTCCTGGGCCAGGAGGTGGTGAAGGTAACGCGGCTCCCGGGAAAGGCTCCGCATTCCGGGAAAGGCTCCGGCTCCGGGGAAAGACTCCGGGCCCGTTCCGCTCCCGGAGCCGCCTCCCGTTCCCCCGGCAGGCGCTTTCCCAGCGGGATCCCCCCCACAACAACTTCTTCTTCTTCGACGGCATCAAAGGCAACGGAGTCGTGGAGCGCCTGGGCGCCAAGTGAGGCGGAGGGGCTCCCGCCGGCGCTCCGCATCCCGGCGCTTCCCGGCGCTCCGCATCCTGGCGCTCCGCGGGGCGCCCGCGACTCGGCGGCCTCTGCTTCCGGACCCGTTTTGGAGGATGTTTAATAAAAAACACTCCCCTTTCCAGCAGGGCCTGTTCCAGCTGCAGGGGAACYGGGAGCGGCTGCCGGAGCCCCCCGGATAATCCCTAGGGATGGGGGTGATGGCTCCAATGGGGGGGAAGCGGCGCCCAACTCACCCGGATTCCGCAGGAAGAGCCGCCGGGAGCAGCGGCGGCTCCAGCGGGAGCTCCGAGCCGGAGCCGCCCCACGCCCCCTCTCCCTCCCCATTCCCAGGGCAGCGGCGGGAGCCGCCGCTTCCTTAAATTCCTTTTTATTGAAAAGAAACGTACAAAAAAAGACCCGCTCCTGTACAGCGTCCGTCCGTATGTACACAGCGCCGCCCCTATGTATAATGTACAGCCCCCCCCTGTACAGCCGCAACGTACACTATATACACGGAGCTGCGCCCCCCCGGGCGCAGCAAGGCTCGTCTCCCCCCCGCTCCCCATTCCCGGGAATCCCGCGCGGAGCAGCCGCCGCCTCCATCACCCCCCCCCGGCCTCCGTCGCCGGCCCCGGTCGCAGAACAATAAATAAATAAATAGGAATTGCGGGGGGGGTGGCGGGTGGTCCCCCCCCGGCGGCTCCGCTCCGGCGGCTCCGCTCCGGCGGCGGAGCCGGGCGCTCCGGCTCAGTGCGGCTCCGGCAGCGCCGCCCGCTCCAGGTGCTGCAGCAGCCCCAGGAGCCGCGCGGCCAAGCGGCACAGGGGCGTCCAGAAGGCGCCGCGGAGCCGGCGCCGCTCCGAGCGCTGCGGGAAGAGCGGGATGAGCGGCGTTCCCGCATCCCGCCGCGTCCGTCCCGGGGCATCCCACTGCATCCATCCCGGGGCATCCCGGGACATCCCGCCGCATCCGTCCCGGGGCATCCCGGGACATCCTGCCGCATCCGTCCCGGGACATCCTGCCACATCCATCCCGGGACAATCCCGCCGCATCCCGCCACATCCATCCCGGGGAATTCCAGGACATCCCACCGCATCCATCCCGGG